GCTGCTGTTCCAATCCCCAAGAGTTTTCTGTGTGAAATCTTGAAATCAATACAGATGGAAGGGAGAACTTGGAATGTTAAACAAAACAAAATAGAAAAAGGAAAACAGGCAAAACTTCAGAGGTATCATCACAACAGATCATATGTGCACAATCTTCATACCTATCTCTGTGTGGGCTGCTTAGACAGTTCACCAGAACACCCTGATATCATCAGATGTTAAAGCTGCAAACCAGGAAAATCCATCAGATTGAAACTGCCATCTTCATTTCACCATCTAAAGGTGCTTCCAGCTCAAATCTAGAAATGTTCTTCACTGACTGCTCTTTAGACTCAGAAACTCATTTATAAACTAGTTTATAATTTGCTCCAACTGTGAACCTGTTTCTCTTTGGATTCCATAGAAATACCTCTTATTAAGTACCTGATTGCTCACACTATATAGAGCCCTACTTAGATGGAAACTCCTACCTGCAATACTGCCTCTTGAAATGAGACCTCATCTTATTTATCCTGTCCTAAATAATCATGATATGTTTCATTATTGTAAGACACAAATGCAATATTCAAATACTTATTTCCACCAATCCAAAAAGTTTTCTGAGATCCACTTCCAAAAGAAGACAATGGGTCCCATATAGTAAAACCTAGAGATTTGTTTTATTGGAAAAGACATCAATGAAAGATTGCAGTTGAACCTTATTAGAAGAGACCTTATCAACTACATGGAGCCCAAGGCAGGGCTCAGGACCCTGAGATCATGACCTGAGCCCAAATCAAGAGTTGGACGCTTAACTGACTGAGCCACCCAGGCATCCCCAGAATAATATAATTTAATAACAAGTTACTAAAAAGATTCATTATAAAATTTAGGGAAGAAAAGGCTATTAGAAATTACTTTGTGATTAATCCCTATAAACTAACTATTGTCAGGCAAGAAAAACATTCTTCTTATTAAAACATTTTAAGCTTTTCCATCACTGATAAATTGACTTGATGAGCATGGAAGCACGAGTATAGAAATGATGGTTGAGAGTGACACATGTAGCAAGTATATGGCAGAAAACGAACTGATGTTTTAAATGCTAAGAACACTTTTGCCCAGCAACTAATAATATGTTTTAATAAATACTCAAAAATCATTGATAAATGTCAAAAGGCCTGCAATAATAGAATTCTTCCCACTGTTTTTGTGATTATCTTATCAGGTACTCATTTTTCACTATTCTATATATGATTCCATCAAAAACTTAGGAAAGGGAAAAGGAAGATTCAAATATCTTTGGAGGGATTTTTTTTTTTTCCTGACTAGTTGACTAAACAAGGAAAAGAAAAAAAATTAGGAAAGATTATATTCTGAAGGAAAAAAAAACCCTTTTAAAAATAATCTAACCCTCACATGAAGGAAATTATATCAAATCTTTATAGACAATTCTCTGCTACACTGTATATGCATGTATTGCATATATATGCATATGTACATTCCCTGTATCATACACAGAAAAAAATATGTAATCATCTTAGGTGCAGGGAAGCAAGAACTCTTTCATTGACTCCCCCTGTCAGCAGAGAGGTGACTTTATTCCTTTCCTGAGTCTATATCCCCTAATCACTATGGTCTGGCTTTCTTCTCTGGTTTCCTGGCCCAAGTGCCAACACAACTGTCTTCACCAGCATAGCAAACAGATGGCCAACCAGGAAGAAAGTAAACTGTTTCTGTTAAGACCCAGTTAATGTGTAGTTTTCCTTATTTAACCAACTCATAGTAAAAATGACTCTTCAAAAAGGACTTAAATACCCCCCTCCCAAATTAAGGTATTTCTTATAAAACCTTACTAAATGTAACAAAACTACATAGAAAAGGTAAGATTTATACCACTGATTAAAACTTCTGGACTAGCCTGCATCAAGTACCACTTTTAGACCTTTAGCTATCTTTGATTCACTTAGCTGAACAGTCGAAGGGACCAGCAGTGCAACAGACTAAACTAGTTCTTCTGTACCTTGTCTTGCTACCTGCTTTCAGAACCAAGTTATACAAGCTCGAGCCTCAACCATGTATGTGCTTGAAGTTTTCTTAACTGGTGAGAGATGTTTTAATCAATTCACTGATAACAGAGCTATGAGTAATTAATTTAAATAACATAATTGATCTAAATTGCCAATTCATGGCTGTCACATTTTTTCCTCAGAAATTCACCATTTGTAATAAAAATACCTGAGCAGTTTCTTCTGTTTGTTGTGCAGTTAGTTTTTCTTTCAATGCGTATAGCTGACATGTGAGGTAGTAACATTCTTTTCTCAGTTGGAGGATGATATCTTGGGCTTCTCTCACTTTGGATTTTTCATTTTGCAAAGCTAAAACTAACATTCTGTTGTTGTCTTGGTAGTTTTTTAGCAGTGTAGAAGTGTTGGCTAAAAGAGGATAAAATTTTTTTTATTATGTATTAAATCTAAACTTAAAAAGTGATGCAAAAGCACATGAAAATCTCTTACAGATTATCTGGCATGGTGCAGTTATAAAAGACTTTCGTTTGCCAATCTCTGCCAAATTTTTATTCCTTTTCTCTTTCATCCGTTTCTTTATGTCTTCAAGACTGTCTTGAAAGGACTTTTTAAGGCACCTTTCCTTGGCCATCTTCTGCCTGGGAATTTAAAACAATAAAAAGTAAGTTTTCTAAGAGAATATCATCAAATATAAAACAAGATTGAAAACACAGGTTGTTCACAGAGAATGGATTAAATAGACGTAGTAACTGTAGAGTTAGCTTAAAGAAGATGGCTAACCTAGTAATAACTTAGATTTTGCAGCTTTTAAATCTCATTAATATTTTGGCATAATATTAGCCTCTTCAGGTACTTTATAAGCAAGGTTAATAAGTATGCATTTCAACCCAAAGACTCTGTAATATGCCACTATTTATTCTTTAACAAATACTCACTGGGGGCTTACTATATACTAGGCATTATGGGAAATACTTAATATTATATTTTGATGTTATTATTATTTATGTTTCCTACAATGTTTATGACTAACATTTAGTGTTTTAGTGTTTACTAGACTTACAGCATTAGTTCAGAGGTAATCATATATGTGGGCTTTGTTTTCCAGTTCTGCTCTATATTATTAATTTATCAGATTAGGTCACTTGATTAACTCTTTCTTCCACACTCTTTTAAGCCAATACTTAAGATATAGCACATACTCTCAAGAAAGTCAAGGTGATCTTCAGAGGTTTAATTAAACTATGTAGCACTATATACAATTTTAATAGGCTACTATAACAATTATAGAGCTAGAAAGAATAGGTATTGAGGCAGGGGAACATGCCAGTTTTCTCAAAGTTATTTTTAAAACTCAGGTCTGCTAGCTCCTAGTAAGTCATGAATATAGCAAACAACACATTAAATAATGATTGTTCTACATAGTTAAAAGTAGCAAAACAAGTGCTGATAGTGTCTTATGCTACTGAGTGTATTAATACATAAATACACTCAAATCTTTCAATGCAGCAAATCAGATTTGCTTCAATATTCTGCTACTAAGCATATCAAACTACTTTTCATGAATATCTTTTACCCTAGATTGCACTTTGCAGATCTTAAAATTGCAAAAATAATTCTTGTTTCCTACAACTACATATACACTACAAAAGATACCTCCATCTCCTCTAAGTTAGTCAAATATTTTACTCAATCTTACATTTTCTTGAGTATTTTCTCCAGGCCTTACTTATTTTCCTCTAAACATTGGGGGTGTTAAATATAGATATTGTAAATCTCATTATTTTCTCTCTGACAGTGTAGATACAACATATACTGAGATGTTTCTAGTAGAGCAGGCACAACTATTTTTTTTTAAAGCACTAATGTTAAGTGAGTTGTATAAGACAATGTATCACAATGGAATTTTTGAAGTTCGAACTGGAGATGTTTGAGAGCCATACAGATTAAGTAACTGATCAAGTTAGTTTAGCAAAGCCTTACCTAAAAAACTGTTATTACCTTTAACCAACTTAAAATCACAAAAGAAATCTGCCATATCAGAAGTTCCCTGTCTAGGCCGATGGTATTAACAGGGGGTGTGGTGGGGGGAGCGAATGAAAACAGGTCAGTGTGGGATTCGAGTCCGTGTGTATTCAGGTAAAGGGTCTGGATTCAGACGAACCTGGAATATTTGATCTCCGTCATAATTCTTTCATCATTCCTGCTGCTGAAGCAGCGAGGTAGGACACTGATCAGTGCTAGCTTCTCCAGGATAACCGAAGAAGCAAACAAGGTCAACGGTATCGCGCTGCACAAAGAACAGCTGCCAGTTTGTGTGCCCTTACATTAAGCCTGGCTTTTAACTACTGTAAATGCTTTTACGCATCACTTAATCCACAAAATTCTGCAAGGCATGAGGTTAGGGTACCCCAGTAGTTAACAGAAGAGGAAATTGGAGCGTCGGAAAGCCCAAGTCGGGTGGATGAACACAGAAAGGCACCGGATCAATCCCACGCCACAGCCTGAGCTTCTGGACACCGAACTTGGAACGACAGAGACACCCCTGAAAATAGAGGAACAGGGACCACAACACCCCTGTTCCACGCCTCAAAAACCTGTGTTCTCCTCTTTCTCGGAGGGCTCAGGTAAAGTCGGGGGGGGGGGGCGGTTGCCGGAAGAGGGCCCGGAAACCCTCCTCCCACAGGCACGTCCAGAACAGTACCTTGGCCACCACTTCTGCCGCAGCTGTCGCCCTTCTCCTTACATTCCAAGGTTCCGCGAGGCGGTCCGACCGGTGTATCCCGCGCTTCGGCCCCTCCGGGGCTAGGTTCTGTCTACTGTCGCCTGCCGGCTAACACGGCCACATTCGAAATTCTCCGCCGCGCTCACCCATTGGCTGGCTGACAGGTGGTCACGTGAGGCGACGGCGCTGCGAAGGACGCATCAGAGTCCCGCCCTACCGGGTACCTCACGTGACTCACTCCGAGCATTCACATCCGGGCGTCTACTGCTCCCCGGTCCCGGGAGGGCGGAGTCACTAGTCTGCGCGGTGACCTGCTGCCACTTTTTTGCTCAGAGTCGTTGGCTTTTAGGGGTGGAGCCGCTGCGAGATCTTTAAGGGTGCGTATTTTAGGGCATTCAAAAGCTTCCTGTTACTTTAGTCTAGCAGCTTCCCGTCTTTGAGATTGTACTCGTGGGCTCCCTCTTGTGAGAAGAGTCTCCTTGATTGTTTGCCCACTCAAGCAGTCGACCTGCTGCACAGAGGCATCTGGTAGGGCCATTAAAGCCAAAATAGGAAGCACATTTTGGATTAACGGGATATTAGGGAAGTTCCAGATATCTGAAATATTCAGCTCCAGTTTCTTTGTCTGGCTACCTCTGGCTCTTTAACCCTCGGGAAATGGCACCTGGCATCCACACAGCTACTGACCTAGAAGTCCGGGAAATTTTCCTTACTGTTTTTTTATTCTCCCTCACCTTTCCATGCCCTGTCAGTCACCCAGTCCTGTCAGTTCTACCTTTTAAGTATTTTTTTCACGTCCAAACCCCACTATTTTCCATACAGCCAAATACCTAATCTCTTTCTATGGACTGTGTACCAGTACCTACTCTGACCGCAGACTCCACTCCCTTATGTTCTTCATAGAGTGATATTTTGACAAAGCAAATATGATTGAGTATGAAGCACTTATATGACTCCCCACTGCATTTAAGATGGGAGTTCAAACTCCTAAAGATGTTTGGTCTTTAAAGAGCCCTGTGGTTTCTAGTTTCACCTCTTCTGAATTTTCTTTCATTTCCTTGTAATTCATCTTGCTACTTTTGCCCATGCTGTTTTTTTTTTTTTTTTAAGATTTTATTTATTTGAGAGAGAGAGAGACAGACAGTGACAGAGATAGCAAGAGAGCACAAGCAGGGAGGAGAGGGAGAAGCAGGCTCCCGCCCAGCAGGGAGCTGGATGTGGGACTCCATCCCAGGACCTCCAGATCATGACCCCAGCCGAAGGCAGACGCTCAACTCACTGAGCCACCCAGGCGCCCCTGCCCATGCTGTTTTGTTAAGAGCAGTCTTTCCTCCCCCTGGGCCCACTTAGTCTTATTCATGCTGCAGGTCTCATTGTAGAGGTGAATTATCTGTCCCCAAAGCCCCCTTAATAGCTTGCTTTGTACATCCTGGTGCCGTGCATGCACTTTTCCTTTGGTACCCCGTGTAGCAGTGACTTGTCATTCATTGCCTATTTATTCAACTTGCATAAAGCTAGGAACTATATATGTCTGTTTATAGTTAAGTATTCAGCATCTGTTGGGGCGCCTGGGTGGCTCAGATGGTTAAGCGTCTGCCTTGGGCTCAGGTCATGATCCTAGGGTCCTGGGATCGAGCCCCGCATGGGCTCCCTGCTTGGCGGGGAGCCTGCTTCTCCCTCTCCCTCTACTGTTCCCCCTACTTGTGCTCTCTCGCTCTCTCTGTCAAATAAATGAAATCTTAAAAAAAAAAAAAGTATTCAGCATCCATTTAGCAATTTGCTATTAGTAGATATTCACTGGGACAAAAGAAGAATAAGTAAATGAAACCTAAGCAGTTGTTTTGAATTTAGGCATCAATTCATCATGAAGGTTTTTTTTTTTTTTTTTAAGATAACTAACATTCACATCCTTATCCTTGTCTAGGCCTCACCTCACGCCTTCTTGGCTTGAGTGGAAGAGATTAGAACATCTGTTTTTAGCCAACAACTTGTTCTCCCAGTGTTACGAGCCAGGTCACTTCCATTAGTTTACTACTCTGGGCAATGTGGCTTATATGTGCAGAAGCATCAAGAAGAAAGGATCAGGGCAGACATGCTGTGCAGGCTTGGCGGTAGGTGGCCACGGCTACTGCCTGCGCTGCAGCTCAGGGCCTTGGGCCTGCTGCTTGCGCCAACCTCAACAGGCGGCATTAATCAGTCTGCTCTGCTGGTGTGGGTGGTGGCGTCAGTCTCTGCAGTTGGCTCAGGTGGCCCTGGCAGCGGTTAGGGGCCCTGGCCACCTTGGCACATGTGCAGGGCGCGTTGGAGTTGCTACTCGGTGTGCATACTGCCATAGGTCTGCCCTGGTGGACCTGCATTGGCCTCACCACTGTGGCCCAACACTGCGTAGTCACATGCCTACCACACGACATCCTGGCCAAGGTGGAAAATTTGCAGCCAGAAAAAAAAAAAAAAACATTGCAAGGCATCTTAACCAAGAAGTTGCAGTTCGTACAAATCAGTTGAGGTGGTCCAAAAGATTTGCTAGGCTCACTTATCTAAAGAATATGTGGAGGCTTGGGTCACCTGGGTGGCTTAGTTGGTTAAGCCGAGGACTCTTGATTTTGACTATGTCAGGGTTGTGAGACAGAGCCCCAGCCTCGGGCTCCATGCTGAGCGGGTTGAGCCTGCTTGGGATTCTCTCTCTCCCTCTATCTCTGCCCACCCCCACCCCACCCTCATTGCACTCTCCATCTCTTAAAAAAAAAAAAAAAAAAGAATATGCGGAGGCTTTTTTCAGAGCTGTACGTTCGGGATAACTGCCACCCTTTGAAAGCCACTGTGTTGGTCTGGATTCAGTTTCTGTTGTGGATCTTCATGTCTGTTACTCTCCAGAATTTTAGCAGAGGGGCAACACATACAGAAGCAGGGATTTCCATTCAGGAACCACTTAGCTTACTGATGGGGTCCTGTAGTTTCCTGACCTCACTGCACCACTTGGGTTCTGCCTATCTCCGCTGGTGTCATCAGTTTATTAAAGTGGAGATTTTTGCTCTGCAAAAAATTGGAATGTCTCATTTTCAGACATATGTTGCATACTTTGTGCGGTATCAGTGTTTATGATTCCACCTGCTGTGACAGTACCTTCATTGATTGTCTTCCACTGGTTATGCTCCAGCTTCACCGGCCTTTCATAGACTTACTGCTGTGTTCTAGGTTTTGCCAAGTTTGCTGAATGCTGGTGACCAAGTCACCAGATTCAGATATTCCTTATAAGGACCTCTTCACTGCCTTTTACACTAAGTTCATTTAAAGAAAATGACATGCTTTTCAATAATTTCAAAACAATTGCCAAGTGTTACTATCACAATATATTTAGGCTTAGAAATTCAGATGTGATTTAATTTGTTTTTATTTAAAATCATGAATTGTGTGAAGTACTATGGTTAAGATATAATCCAAATATATTTGACAACACTTAAAATCTTTTAAGTGCTAGAAATGTATGCTTAATTCTATCCTAAAGGGACACTGGGTGGCTCAGTCAGTTAAGCGTCTGCCTTTGGCTCAGGTCATGATCCCAGGGTCCTAGGATCGAGTCCTGCAAAGGGCTCCTTGCTCGGTGGGGAGCCTGCTTCTCCCTCTGCTTGCCATTCCCCCTGCTGGTGTGCTCTTTCTCTCTCTCTCTCTGACAAATAAATAAAATCTTAAAAAAAAAAAAAATTGTATCCTAAAAACACAAAAGTAGAATCAAAGTGTCTAATTCTGCTTATAAAATTACTAGAGGCACCAGAACTTTGGAAAACAGGATTAAATACTGGATGATGTCAAATTATACTGACCAGTCTCATACATTAAAGCTTTATAAAGTAAGAGAATCCAGTGAGGTGATTCTTAAAATTTTGGAGGTGTGGAGGATCATAGACCCATTTGCACATCTGCTAAAACTATGGTTTTCTTTTCAGAAAAATCCTGGGACTCACAACATGGGGGCCTTCATTGATGACCCCCCCCTTACCCCTCCCCAAGACTTTCTGGTAATTCCTGGTTAAGAAATCTTATTCTAATGGAACACACAAGGATGATGAGTTAATGTGTGACTTTTATAAAATGAACTTGAGATACATGCAATAGAGTAGTCCTTACAAGAAAGTACCTAATATAGTAGGTGATATTGCCTTTCAACACTGTTCTGAAAGAATACAAAAAGGGTACATTCCTTTTCTATAACTAAAGAAGTCTGGAATAGAGTGTAGCACTAAGTACTGCTAGACCCAAAGTGGAAAATCTTAAGCATTAAATTTGTTTACTTAAAGGAAGAAAATCAAAAGGGCAGCTACCTATTATGGAGGTGATTTTATAAACTTTATTTGGAATGATTAAGTACTCTAATGGGTTTCAACTATGACAGATGTTTAATATAGGAAAAATTAATAGGTCATATAAATTGTGGATCCAGTTGTTTGCTTGTTTGATTTGAAAAGATGATAAAACTAATTGCAGTTTGGGATATTTATGATTAAATTTGACAGTCATTGGAGAAGATTAAAAAAATAATAGGAGAAAGGATCACAAATTAAATTAAAAAAATTTTTTTTTTATTGCTTGAGGCCAGAAGGTGTGAATTAGAAAGTGAGAACAGGGCTGGCTTAATGAGCATGTGACCTGTGCTCAGAAAGGCCTTGTACTTGGTTTAAGGTTCTGCTCTTACCATTTTGAAATGCCTTTTCTTTTTTTTTTTTTTCCCCTGAAAGGTCTTACATTTATTACTGAACCAACCTACTGGTGCAGAGGCATAGTAACAGAGAAAAATCATTTCCCTGATAAAACATGTCTGTTGGCCAGGTAGGAAGGATGTTTACAGAGTGATAGAACACATGATCTTCATGCAGCTTAATTAAATATGTGGTGCCAATTAGGTGTGTCATCTCATGATGTGTGATGCCTTATAGACCCATCTTGGTTCTTCTCCGGTGCCTCCTCTTGGAGTTGTACCTGATTTTATTACCAGTTTTTATCCGAATCCACTGGAGAATGGGGTGATTCTGCTTTTGTTTCTTGGCCAGGAATTACTTGATTCTGAAAGTCTTGTGAGAAGACATGGCGAGAAACAGTCAGCCACACACAGCAGGATGGTGGCGAAAAAGAGAAAAGCTTGAAACGCTTAATAATTTATATTTGAGCTTGTGATTTGTAGGTGAAGTCTGATAAGACAGTGGAACATGCACATGAGCAAATGAGATAATGTGCAATATGTGTTTCCATCTGTGTCTCTTGTTGCCTCATTGCCATATCGTGTTCAGGATGCTCAGTAAATGGCTTCCATGACACACATACTTTATATTTGGGGCTCTGTGCTCAGAAGGGCTTCATACTTCGTTTAGTGCTCTGTTGCTAT